GTAGTGACCCCCCCTGGTTTTCCGGAGGGGGGGGATGTTCGAACGAGTAGTGACCTCCCTGGTTTTCCAGAGGGGAGGAGGGGTTAGGGGTGGGAGGGTTTGCGGGGGGAAGAGGTGGGGGGGTTCCAGCAGGGAGGGGGGGGATTTTCGAAAGGGGGGGAACCCCAGGTTCCCGAGGAACAGGGGGGGAACTTTCCACAGTAAAGCGGCGGTGGATCACTCTCTCTCTCTCTCTCTCTCTCTCTCTCTCTCTCTCTCTCTCTCTCTCTCTTATATATATATATAGAAATATGTATACATCTGTAAATATACGCCTATGGGTACGGGTGAAATGTATGTATGCCTTGGTGTATATGTATACGCATGCACATGACATGATTTTCGCAATTGCGCGCGCACCATTTTTTCAGTGAGTATCGCGCGTCATGCCGAAACCGTTTTTTGCTTGTATTAGGCTTTGCTTTTGGGATTCGTAATTGTTTGTGAAGAAGCGGTGGGTGCTGGACCCCGTAGTGCCGGTGTTTTCCGAGGTGTCTCGGCCTGGTTTCTTTAGACTTGGGTTCCCTGGTGTTCCTTGGCTGAGTTTCTTGACGAGGACTTGCCCAGGTTCTCCGAAGAGGCCTTCCTCGGGTTCCCCGGGTTTCTCGGTATTGCTTCGTTGCTGTTTTTGAAGAGGCTCTCCTCGGGTTCCACGGGTTCCATGGTCTTGTCTTCTTCTTCTTCTTCTTCTTCTTCTTCTCGTTTTGGAGAGACTGTCCTCGAGTTCCCCTGGTTTCTTGGTCTGGCTTCTCTATTGTTTTTGACGATTCGGCTTTACCTTGAGCGTTCTTGCGTGTTTTGAAAGAATGGGTGCGGTTGGCGGTTCTCGCTGGGGTTCTCTGGGATTCCATGGCTTTGTTTCTGTACAGAGGGGGTCCCAAGGCAGTGTAATACCAAGTCAGGCAATGCTCTGCCAACACATGCCAAGCCATGCCGCTTAGGGCTTAGGAAGCGTTCCCCTTAGAGGCTGGCGCCAGCTTCACGAAACGTGTTCTCTTGGCAACGTCAGGTACCGTACTGTTGTTTAACACCAGTTCACGTGTGCGCGCTTGTGAAGCCCGCATGCTGAAATTCTGTATGGCATCATTGGAAGTGCCTTTGCAAGATCCGAGCGGATGCCCCGCACCTTTCTCATACACGCGGGAAGGAGGTGTCGAGCAGGGGCTTCGCGGGGGGGTTTCAGTTACCCTACATTTTGAACGGGCGACCGTGCATAGCAAATATGTCAAAGCCAACACGCGGAGGTGAAGCGTTTAGTCCAGCTTTGGCATGGGGGTAGAGCTTAACTCAGAGCGTGAATTACCTACCCCGCTTTCGCTTCCAGGCAAAACCAAGCCATACCACGCGCCTCCTCGTCAAGCGGCCTGACCAGTACAGGCTGCAATTTGGCATCGTTTGGTATCTCTTGGAAGCGAGGGTGGTCAAAAGCGAGGTAGGTTTGTTTTCCCCCTATTAACATCCACCATAACAGTAATACACCTGGCGCGATCTATGTGGCGCAGCCAGATTGGTCCGTCACCGCACGGGGCGGCGACGGGGCAGTGACGATCAGGGACGGTCGCACGGGCGCGAAAACCTGTGGTGCCAACCAAATTACGTACGGTAGGTTTGCGTCGTGTCGACCAGCGGCGACCCCAGCGCGGGCGTTCAAGGTTGAACGCCGCCGGCGACCCAGAATCGATCGATGTTGAACGATCGGACGTTGCGGCAGCGGCCGATCGTTCAAGGTTGAACGATCCCTGCGGTGTCAAAAACCAACGCTGGGGTCGGCACGACACGAACCTGCCGTAGGGAGTGCAAGGAGTGTTTCGGGAAGGCGAAAACACGCGGCAAGAAATATAGGAACACACCCGTCGTCCATCTTGCAACCTCCCAAATGTGCCCCAGAAACTCTGTCAATCCCGAAGGCCTTCGGGGAGAAGTGGTCTCCGTGGGGCATCTGCAAACAAGCCAGTTTCTTTCCCGCTGTGCCTACTGTGCCAAAATCCCCGACGTCTGGACTTTTTCAACAGCATGGACCCCTGGGAGTCTCGACGCGTCTCGACCTCTTCCCCGCGACCGGCTTCTCATCCTGCGACGCTCCCAGGGCCCGGTGAGGGCCCGCCGGAGGGCGAAACTGCCGAAAACCTTGCTTTGCGTTTTTTCACGACGCGAGGGGGGATTGGGTGACCTGGAGTGGGTGCACAGCTATCCGGAACCAGGGACGCGCCTGCCGCACGGGCGGTGCAGGCGGACATTTGGAGTCGCCCACATGGAAGAGGAGGAGGAGGAGGAGGAGGAGGAGGAGGAGGAGGAGGAGGAGGAGGAGGAGGAGGAGGAGGAGCGCAGCGCCGCAAAAAGGTCTCCCGCCGCGCACGCGGGCGCGCGACGGACTACCCCCTGGCGCCGCCTACTCACGGCACGGCGCCGTAAGAGCAGGAGGCGATGTAGAAGGAAAGCAGGAAGAAGTCGCCCTCAAGGCCGTGGACGCAGGCCAACTTGCCGCCGACGAGAAGGCGTCGCCGCCGAAGAAGACGCCGTGCCACCAGCCGAACACGGAACGGCAGCGAATCACGACATGGTCGATCATCGCGCCGCGTGGCTGCCAGAGGAGCCACCCTGCGGGAACGGCGCTGCTGGGGTACGTCGGGCACGAGGCGCCAGGCCCTTCTCGACGCGCCTGATCGCATCTTGCTGGTTGCGGCGCGTGGGCTCTTTGGGCGAGAGCCCATCGCACCTCAAGCCAAGCTTCCGCACTGTGCGGACATCGCCCGCAGCACAGTGAGACCCGCAGCGTCTGCAACAGTAAACATTGTTGCCCCTGAACACGTCGTGCCCAAGCGCGGCGAAGGCGTCCCCGACCTCCTCGGCCAGGGCAGGTGGCAACAAGGCTGCGGGGGTTGATGGCTGTGAGCTCCCTTCGAGCGCCAAGGCCGCGCCCAGGGCCATGCCGGCCTTCTGGTCGCTGCAGAGAACCCAGCCCTCGCCGAAAGCGCGGAAGTACTCGGCGTTGAGAGCGCCGGCAAGACGCGAAGGGCGACGTGCACGATGAGAGCCAGAATGCAGCGACTCGAGGGAGGAGCCCGTTGTGGCCGTGACTCCGCATTGGGTACATCGGTACCGCCCGAGGCTGGCGCCGTAAGCAAGGACATGATGCGTACTGCGCGCCGTCGCAATGGGCCTGGCCTGCTCGCAAGGTGGCCTGGGGGCCTCCACGTCGCGCCCCCATTGTCTGCGAACCGCCGCCTGCAGTGCCGCCCACGAAATGAACTGCAGGACCTTGCGGTGCTGTTTCAGCGCAGCTGTTACCGCCTCGGCTACCGACCCAGCCAGTGCGTGAGAGGCCGCACCACAGCGCGCGAAATAGTATGCCCAGCCGTTGCCTAGCCAGTCACGCATCTCCTGCGGCCCTGTGCCCACAAGCTCCTCCAAGGACCTGTGCGCTGGCGTCCATCGGAACTTGGGAGGGTCCCGCAGAGTGCGCCTGCGGCTGGCCACGAAGATGCCCCGCCGCGCTCTAGCATGCTTGGCACGACCCTGCTCGAGCTCGGGGCACCAACGCTCTCCTTCCTGGGCGAGCGCCAGCAGGTCGGTAACGAAGCACTGGTGGTCAGGGGAAGCGTCGAGCCCCTCCCTGATCGCGTACCTCTCAGCACGGCCGACAGTCTGCACCAAATACGGAAAGGGGCCCGAACCGCGCCCTAACTGGGAACCAAGAGTAAGGATCAGGCTGCACAACTGCTTGTCCACACCTCCGCACCTCGGGAACACCTGAGTCGTAACCAGACCCGTCGGTGTAAGAAACGGGGCTCCAAACGCCATGAGCGTCGCCCGAAAGGCAGACATCATGCCTCCGCGTATCTTCGCGTGGCAGAAAGGCGGGAGGCTCGGGTATGCCGAAAACGAGGTAGGACTGTTCGAAGTTCGGCGTGCCTGATCCAAGACCCGCTTGGATAAGTTGGTCGCGCACCTCAGCCAGCACTTGGGGGAGGTGGAAGATACCACGGCCATTCAGCGTTGGTGTTGCTGTCTCGGGCCCGCCATGCCCGCATGGTGCATGAGGCGCCAAGGCAGAAGCCGCCGCCGCAGGGGACAACGGGTCACTCTGTTCCGAAGCAGCCGGTGGCGCACAGAGGACACTCTGCGCGTCCAGCCGCGCCTTCTCCTGATGGCCGTCGTACCCATCGGGTGGCACAACGTCGACCTCTTCATCAACCCCTTGCCCGATGCCTGGAAAGAAGTCGTCCTCGGCCTCCATGGAGCTGGGCTGCTGGGCGCAGGTGTAGGACGGCAGGATCGGGTCGGCCCGACTCTCGAGGTGGTTGTGGATCTGCTGGCGTAGGTCGCCGAAACCCTGCTGTGTTTCAGGGGCCCTGTTTGGGGGCAAAAGGGTCTCTGAAATACCACGCGTGTTCTGCGCTTGTCGCAGGCCTTGGACATGGTCCGTCGGCTTCTGGTCCATGGGTCGTATCTGCCCTGCGGGGGGGCAAGTCAGCACCGCGGGGCATTCCAAGAAGACATGGCCCCAGCATTCAAGGAGAAGGAGGAGGAGGAGGAGGAGGAGGAGGAGGAGGAGGAGGAGGAGGAGGAGGGGAGGAGAGGAGGAGGAGGAGGGAGGAGAGAGAGGGGAGGAGGAGGAGGAGGAGGAGGAGGAGGAGGGGAGGAGGAGGAGGAGGAGGAGGAGGAGGAGGGGAGGAGGGAGGAGGAGGAGGAGGAGGAGGAGGAGGAGGAGGAGGAGGCCCGCACCCGGTTGGCCGATGTCCTCTGGCACGGAGGGGCGGGGTCTTGCGGCGGACGCGGGCTTTGGAGGCCCAGGGCTCCTCCCGCGAGCTCTTCCTCCCGCGTCGCTGCGCGGCGGGCCCAAGCTTGGCGGAGGCCCAGGAGGGCCCCAGGACGGCGAGGACGCCTCCACGAAGGCCCCCCCTCTTCCAGGGCCTTTTCCCTTGCTTGTGCGGCCTCCTTCTCTTCCCGCCCCCTGGAAGCCCATCATCTTCGCCTGTCCAACGGAGGTACTTCGGGGGGTGGAGGGGCGGCTCCGCGCAAGGCGTGTCTAGTCTAGGCCTCCTGGATGGGAGTAGATGGGCTCGGAGGGTCGCGCCGCACCGGCGATGTATCGGCTGTGCGGCCCAGTGTGGAGCCCGCGTTTCTCCGCCCCGACGTCGCCGATGCATCGGCGATGCTGTGCGATTCTCCGACCCCGTCTACTTCTACGTGGACCCCAGATTGGCAGGCCTCTCTAGAGCGGCCGGGTGACCGCTGCCCTTGACGGGCCAAAGCGTCGGGTACCCGGCCGGGCGGCTGAGCGGCGGGCCGCGCGAGCCGCGCCGGCAACGACCGGCTGGTGCGTTTGCCAGTTCTGCTCGGAGGGCACCAGCTATGTCCGAGAGCCGAGAGAGGCACAGTCAAGGCGCTGAAAGAAGGAGCACTTTGGGCTCAGGATGGGCTGGTTTTTGGGCCGATCCAGACGTGCAAGACTTAAATGGATGGAGTGACTGTTATAGTATTAGACACAAGAGTGTTGTGGAATATGTGTTTGAGATCAACAGGCTGTTCCCCAGGCCGGGGAACCGATTCGAAGCTGAGGCTCTCCGTGGCTAGAGAAGGCCCTTCGATTTCGGTTCAGCGTTTCTTCTGTCAAGGCAAGGGGCTACAAGCCACCCCGACCCCCACCATTGGCGTCTGCTGAATTGCCCTGGGCGCTTGCCAAGCAGCCCTGCCCTGTTCGATTCCTCCCTCGGGTGCGTTTGCTGAGCGGCTTCGCCTGTCGGGGTGCTTGCTCTAAGGGTATATCTATAAACTCTGCTATGGCAGTATATGTGTGTATATATATATATTTATATATGTGTATATATATATAGTATGTATATATATATGTATATATATATATGGTATATAACACTCTGCGATGGAAGCACGATGGTCGCACGGAAACGCGATTTCGTCGGAGGTCCCTCCGGGCTCCTTGGGTTGTCGCCAGGCCCTTCTCCCCCACACCCCTGTCGGCGCCTCCGGCGCCCCGCTCCTGGCGTGCTCCTCGCGCCGCGGAGGGTCACGAACCGCGAAGCGTACTCATTGTGCGGCCTGGATTCCTCCTCCTCCTCCTCCTCCTCCTCCTCCCTCCCAGCCGTTCTGGCCCAAGTGTTTGGGCTTGCAACAGCATACTCTTCAGAACGGCCGAGTGCTGTTGCGGGCCGATTTGGCTTTCTGCTCCTCCGGGAGCGCAGTTACGATTATCCATATTCTGAAACTCTCGTGGTTCGTTGTCCTGCCGCTCGTGAGCAGCCTCGTTCAGGCAGGATGGCGCCCAATGCGGGAGGTTCGAAACCCATGTCGAGGAAGGCCAAGGCAAGGGCCCTTCTCGCTTCGGCATGGTGCTGCAAGAAGTGTAAGCATCCTGTCAGCGGGCTCCCCTGGTGGAACCATGGCGACGCCTCGAAATGCACCAAGTGCAACTTGGCCAAAGGTGTCGCCTTTCTCTGCCCGAGGTCTTCTTCTTCTGGACCCTCAGTTCGAGCGGATGGCAAGGGCGCCGCTGCCAGCAAGTTCGCTTCGTCGCCTTGGCACCGCTCCGCCATGGCGAAGTTGGAGCACGAGCTGGTGGAGACTCGCGCGCGCCTTGCGCAGCTCGAGGCTGGAGGTGGGAAGGACAAAGACGCGATGGACTTGGATGAGCCTGATGATGGATCTGCTGCGGCTGCGGAGGTGCAGCGGCGTCGCATTCGCATCGAGTGCATCGACGACAGCCTCGCGCGCATCAAGGACTCGTCGGAGCCGTGCTTTGTGCAGCTCCGCAAGGAGCTGGAGGCTGAGCGCGCCGGACTGCGCGCGGAGCTGGCAGAGTCTCGGCCCATTGGCACTCGCCTCCGGGACCTGTCGCAGAAGCAGCTCAAGGTCGAGCGGCGCCAGAAGGCCCAGGCCGAAGCTCTCGAGAAGCTCGAGTCCCAGTGCACGGAGATCCAGCAGAAGCGGGACGAGCAGAAGCAGGCGCTGGCTGCCACCGAGGCCGAGCTACAAGAGCTCCGGCGTGAGCAAATGCGCCTGGCCGCCTCGGCCCCCACGCCGACGGAAGGAGCCAAAGGCGACGACGTCGTGCCGGGCCTGGGCGTCACCGCGGACCAGCTGGGCGCGCTGCTCCAGGAGCTCGGAGATGATGGCCGTGTCAAGGCCAAGCTCGAGGCCGCCATTTCGGACATCCGAGCTTTGGATGCCGACAAGAAGGAGAAGGCTCGCGCCGCCAAGGAGGCGGCTGCCAAGGCTGAGGCCGAGGCTGCGCGCGAGCCCGCCGCAGGGGCTCCTGATGGGCCTGCTGCTGCACAGGCTCATGTCCCTCCTGCTGGCCGTCCCCCTGCTGCTGCTGCACCTCCTGGTGGACAGCTTGGTGCGGACGACTTCATGCCCGACGATGTCGACGTGGAGCAGCTCAGGCAGTTCATCGAGGGGCTTGGCGCCACCCCCTCCGAGGACGAGGCGGAGCTCCGCGCCCAGTACAAGCGGCAGCGGGAGCACATCCTGGCCAGCTTGGCGGGCGAGGCCAAGAAGAAGATGCGGATGGCCTAGCCGTTGGGCGCTGCGCTGGCTGGTGCTTCTCGACAGCTGGGCGGTGGCGCAGGCTGGGGGACCCCCTGGCGCTTCTCCTGCTGCGCCCTTGCTGGGTATGGGGCCTAGCAGCTTTGGGCAGCAGGCTAGCGTTGGCCCTGCCGATGGTGTTTTGCATGGTCGGCCAGGGGTTCAGGGAATGCGGTACTTGAAGCCGAGGCCGCCTACTGACAGGAGCTCTTCCAAGGTGTCGGGGCAGGTGGTCACTGCCAACATCTCTGATGGGAAACAGCTCGTGCAGTACCTTGCCGTCTGCCAGGCCACGGTGCTCGCGGCGCAAGAGCATAAGGCTGATGACGCCCGCCTTCCGGATATCCAGAGGCGAGCCGCTGACAAAGGCTGGTCTGGAGTCTGGTCGGCCGCCGTCGTAACGGACAAGGGCGGCACCAGCGGCGGGCTGGCTGTGCTTACGCGTGGCAGGGCCATGGTCACCGCCCCGCCGTGCCGGAGTGACCCGTGCATCTATCCTGGCAGGGCCATGGCTGCCCGAGTGCATTGGGGACTCCCGGGAGGTATTGTGATCATCACGGTGTACTTGGTGGTGGGAGAGGGCCTCTCGCCCACCAACATGGCCATCCTCCACGACGTCGGCTGTTACGCGGCTGAGCTCAATGCGCGCGGTTTTGCTTGGCTCATCTGTGGGGACTTCAATTTGGAGTACGAGGAGCTTGGCGACTTGAGCTGGCTGCACTCTCTGGGCGGCGTGGCGCTCAGGACCCAGGCAACTACGTGTCGTCAGGCAATGCCGGGGACGCGCATTGACATGTTCATGATATCGGAGGCCTTGTCACGTCGAATTGAGCCTCCTTACGTCTTGGAGGACACCGGCACTTTCCCCCATGTGCCTGTGGTGCTGCCGCTCCGAGGGCAGGAGCGGGACATGTGGGTACGCCAGCTGGCCGCTCCCAGGGCGGTCCCGCGCGGACCCGTCATTGGCTGCTCGCGCTACCCTGGTGAATGGGACGGCGCCCTGCACTCCATCAGGCAGGCGTGTGATGCCCGCACGTTGCAGGTCGCATGGGACGACGTCATCGCTGCCCTGGAGGAGGAGCTTCTTGAGCGGCACGATAAGGTGGGGCCTGCTGATGATGTGTTTCGCGGTTCTGCTGGAGCTGTCCATTACCGTTGGTCTCATATGGAGGCGACTGCTCCGCACAGGCTCCCCTGCCACTCAGCAGTGGAGCATGGCTGGGCGGTGGCGGCCCGCTGGGCCCGGCATGTGCGCAGCGCGCGCCAGGCCATTCGCCATCAGGCCACGATGCTTGTCGCCGACCTCGGCCTGGTCATGGAGTCTCCTCTGGCGGTCACCAAGCTGGCGCAGCTGGTTCTCGAGTTCGAGCGTTGGCTGCAGCGCATCGACAAGGCGACAGTGCTGCTGGCCATCGATGCCTGGGTGGCCACGTGGTTTCAGTCGGGCTTCAAGCTGCTGACAGACCCACACTTTGATGATGCCGTCGACGCCATCTTGGCTCGGGCCGAGGAGGTCCTTGACGCCTACGGCAAGAAGGAGTTGGAAGGTTGGCGAGCCTGGGCAGCCAGCTCCTTTGACAAGGGGGCTGGCAAGGCTCATCGGTACACCAAGGCGAAGGCAGCCCAGGAGATTTTCGACTGGGGGAACCTGCACAATGATTTAGCCCAGCCCTTCGTCATGGCCGACAAGTCCATGCGCTTCTGGGATCAAATCTGGAGTTTGCATGGCCAAGATGCAGTTCGTCTGCCCCGCCAGGCTGCTATGTGGCCGGAGCTTCCGGAGATCACAGTCGACATGATGCGTGCGGCGACGTTGTCGTTTCCTTGGCACACGGGTGTTGGTCAATTTCAGTTCTCGCCTCGCAGCCTTTGGTATGTGTCTGATATTGGTTTATTTGTCCTCGGCCAGCTGTTCATGACTTGTGAGCGTTTGTGCCAGTGGCCGAGCGAGAGGATCGTCACCCAGATGGTCAGACTGCCCAAGGAGTCGGGGGGCAGTCGGCTTATCGCGCTGCTGCACACGCTCCTGCGCATCTGGGGGCGGGTGCGCAGGCCCTTGGCTGCGGCCTGGCAGTCGGAGCATCAGGCCGACGCCTTCTGGGGCACAGGTGCTGGTCGGTCGTCTTGCGACTGCGCCTTCGATCTCAACATGGAGGCAGAGATCGGGCACGAGCTGAACGAGGACGTGGTCAACGCTTTCTTGGACATGCTGAAATGCTACGAGACGGTGAGGCTGGACGCTCTGATGGATGAAGCCATCCATGTTGGCTTTCCCCCCCGGCTGTGCTGGATGGCGGTGCAGACGTACGTCCAGCCTCGCCTCATCAAGGCCTATGGTGGCTTGTCCTACGCAGTGGTCTCCTTGCAAGGCATCTTGGCAGGGTGTTCATTGGCTACGACACTGCTCATGGTCCTCCTGTTCCGTAGTATGCGCAGCACGGTGCATGTTTTTAAGAATGTCACGCCCAGAGCGCTGATTGATGATATCAGCTTCCAGTGGGTTGGACATCGGGCTCTGGGGCTGCGGCGGGAGGGGAGGGATCCAATCCGCGAGCTGCATGCCGCCATCCGCGCCTTTGTCGCTTCTGTGAAGCCCCTAGGGCTGATGGTACAGTTCCCCAAGTGTGGCTTTGTAGCCAGCACCGCTCGTGCCAGGAAGCGTTTTGCTAGTTTTGCTGGTCTTTTGA